TTCACTCCCTTTGTATGTGCGTGTGTAAGTATAAGAAGATACGAATATCCCGGCCTCCACACAACCTGCGGTTCGGGTTACAATATAGAAGTTCATCAAGCGCCACTATTCTCTTCTCTCAGAGTGCGACAAAATAAAAGATATGTACTTCGAAGATATCGTGACTCTCTGTACGTACAAACAGAGTGCCCGGTGGCATCGCCATCTGCTGTCGTCGCCATATAATATATTCCGCACGGTGGACAGGGCAACCTTTTTTTTCGCATGTGGCAAAAGCAAAACCGGGGACGGAGGGATACGGCGAGTGGTCATGACGACCGCGTAAGGTTGGATCCGACAGGAACATTGCGAGAGCAATGAGAGCGGTCCGAAGTACATATCAAGCACTGCAAACTCACCTCTCTCCGACAACACGAGACCGACGCCTTCAGATGAAAAGGTGTCTTGGTTGATGGAATGATGACATTCATTGTACAGGTGCCTGTCGTACGGAGTCGGGGACGCGGTCGTTGGCGTGACCAATCCCATTGTAGTCGTATCCAAGCACCCACCACATGAGCGGTGGTGCGCTCCCAACACCCATGAAAGCCCGATTACCCTTGTGGCGGAAAAAGCACAGAATATTTACGAGGTTGAGCTCCCGAGGATCCGCACGCCCCGTCTCGAACCGGCGGAAGGTTGTTTGTGCACCTCCACGTTGTCTCCCCCGCCACTCCCGAGTGCCCACTCGTCACGCGGCCCAGGTTTCGTTACGGACTTGACGTCGCCGCCCTTCAAGCGACCAACGCCACAACTCGCTACCATGGGTACCCGGAGGTACTGGGAGCAGTCGATGGAATCGTCAAGGGTGTCTCCGTCCCAGCAGTCCGGGCAGCGACTGCTACCGCACGAACCCTCCATGCCGCACCCGTAGTACTTCTCGTACGCACGCCGTAAGGTTCATTCGTCTGGGCGGAATTTGCTGGACCCCACGCGAAGCTGCCACTCACCGTCTTGCAGCTGCTCATCCCCGGTCTTGAACAGAGACGATGTCCACAGAGCCGACCCCGGGAACTGCCCTCTCAGCTGTGATGGTGTTTGAACCGCCTCGGCATGAATGTCTGTGGGCACGCGGTTGTGGCCGAGAAAGCTCGCCAACGACTGCATGATCCGGACGCAGCCATCACCAGGTTGAACAGCGACGATCTCGTGCACTCTGTCTCGTCGGTTGTACCTGGCGACTCTGTACGGCAGCCCGTTGGACAGCGCCAGTAGAGCGCTGTTGAGGTTGGCGCGCTTGGCCATGTGCAGTGAAGGATTCCTACCGCAGTCTACACCCTTCCAGACTTGTTCGTTTGGTGGGTGTGTTCACACGTGCTTGCGTCCGGGCATATTCCTAGACGTTTCGTTCAACGCGTGTGTTT